TCAAGTAGAAATGCCATAATAAACGTGAAAGCCCTGAAACACACAAAAAGGGAAAGTCTCCCAGGAGTAGCCTGTCTCAGTACTGAAAAAAGCCGTAGTGCATAGCAGAGTGCGAATACTGTTTTCCTCTCCTTTACCAAACATTTCAAACAGTCCCACTTGCCAAAATCAAGCAGATAATGGAAACGCAAACTAAACAAGCATAAACTAAACTTTGTGGGACTTATATTTTTAAAAGGATAGTATGGAGCAGGAAGTCTCAAAGGGGAGAGAAGATAGTGTTCCAATTTACCCTCTCAGCTCCTCTGTGCATCACTAATATTCAAAGAACTCAGAAGTTCCAATTATGCGTGTGGACCAGAGTAACCCAAAGCTGCCAGCTGGCGACCTCTACTCTCTCTGCATATAGTTATTCTGTTTTCTTCTCTGGCACAGAACACACAGCCTGGCACATTGTACATGCTTGATAAACATGTGCACAATATTTATTGTTTGAGGACACTGGAAAAGTTCCATTTGACTTTGGAACCAAGAATATTTATGTTTCACATGAGCAATGTTTTTATTTTTGGTTTTGTTTTTATCTCATTGACATTGTGTTCTAGATGTCCTGGCTACTAAAGAGTTTTGGGAGCAAATTTGTGGCCCACCTCTGTGAAGGGCATTTTCTTAACCGAACACCTTTATTAGCCTCATACCTGGTCCCATTTCATCACCCCACCCTTGTTTTGTGTTCTCTTCCTATTTGTGTCTAATGGTCTGGCTCATATTGTTTATGTTTTTGATGCCTCTGACAAACATGCTGCCTGGCATATTAGAGACAATAAATAGCGATTGGATTTCATTAAAATTCTAAGCCCTCTCTGAAATAAGATACCTCCCTTTTTATGAAAGAACAAATGAAGAAGGAGCCCTTCCCCTGAGGTGATCCTGAGAATTCCCTTCCTACCATCATAAGGAGAAGGAGTCTGGCCAGTAAGGTTTTTCAGCCAAACACCTCTTTGTACGGCCCACACTCCTCCCCACATCTTTTCTTTTTCAGGGTGAAAGCCTCTCACTGTTTGCTTCATGTCTAAGCATGTCTAAGCAAAGCCCAACAGGTAGTTTCTCAAAACGTCTGTCCATTATAAGAGTAAAAGTAACTCAATGCTTCAGAAAAAAAATGTTCAGTCACTTTCCAAAGCAGCCAAGAGCAAGTGCTGGATCTTCAGTGCCATATAGGGGGAAGGTCAGGAGAAAGTGACAGGTCTCAGGTTCCCTCTGCTGGGAGAAGAAAGCCATCTCTGTGGTTTTCAATACTAAAGAAAATGTAAGGGCTTTGGGAAAGCAGAAAGGCTTATAAACAAAATTCAGGATTAAGAAGAGGGATTAAGTCTAAATTTTCTGCTGCATGGCTGCCTCAAAGTTTTGCTTTGGAACATATATATTCATATGTTAAGGCACAGAAGAAAGAATGACCTATAGCCATGGTAAAAAAAAAATTAACATATTTTGATTAGTGCTTAAAATGTCTTGCGTATATAAAATTATTATTCAGATGTTCCTTTGTGTTATATATCATGCAGCACCTAAAAGTTAAATCTTTCCTCTCCCACATCGCCCACTAAAATAAAGAATGATCTAAAACTGATGGGATTTTTATCTTTTCAGTCTTTATTACATTTTTTTTACTATGTATAGGTCACTTAGTAAACTTTCCATTTGTTGAAATGCATTCTATGTGTTCTAAACCAATCACATCAAATAATCCTTCACACACATGATGAAATAATAAGATCATTAAGTCTTCACCCCAAATTCATACCAGCCTCAGAATCACACATGCACAGCTGTAGGTTGAGCCACAGAAACAGAAACCTAGAATCTAAATATAGGACTCAGCATAATGTCAATTCTCCTCGGACACAGAAACAAGGAATATGAGACAAGAGGCATCGAACAAGACTGTTTCTGTAAATACCATAGTCATCTTGCCCTCCTTACAGCTTCATCGTTTAGTAGGTTACACTCAGTTAAAGACTTTAGCAGATCATGTGGACAACTGTGATATTCCAAAAGGAAAATATTAATGAAAATCTATTGAGGCTTTAGGTATGTTCATCATTAATCCTCATAAAAATACTGCCAGGAAGGCTCTATTAACCCTTTTATATACATAAAGACATTGATTCTGAGGAACCAAGTAACTTGCTTATAGAAACACAGCAGCACAGTAGCCCAATCTCCTGAACACAAGTCAGGGGCTCGTTAGACCACTTTGCACATTCATGATCACAACAAAAGGATCCGTCAATAAGAAAAGTAAAGGAATGATTGATGTAGGGTAGAGTTTCAGGGATCAGTAACAACCTAGTGGGAGCCAGTTTATGTTTGTTGAAAGATGGCAGGTGGCAAGGTTAGGAAAAGCTAAAAACACAAGGGCAGAAGAATCTTTCTTCCACTAGTGGCGTGAAGTCGCACGTGTACACGCCACCAGTCCTCAGGACCATGGCCGATCATGTACGGATCACGCCTCATCTAGCGAGTGTAAATAATCACATTTGAGACCCTGATGGCTTGAAACTATAATAAGCAGCTCTTGAATTACAATTTTGCTAGACAGTCTCAAAAGTAATTTATATGTCATTTTATTTGGAAGAATCTTACCTAGTGACAGAATTATTGTCATTTGGCTGACAAATGTTCCTTGAAAAAAATTTAAAGCCACATCAATTCACAAGAGCATAAGAAAAGAAAAACTCCAGTTTTAATGGAATGCCATTTTTATTGAGATCATTTCAGTAAGTTAGTACTGTTGTTAGCTACTGAAAGAACTACTATAAACTATCTTGGCACAAAAATATACAGAAGCCTATGCATTCGTAATCTAAATTGGCTCTGCTTGAAACCAACCGCAAATGGCTTGTCTGTGATTTTTTTAATATTTGCTTCAAAAAACATTAAAAAAAATTTTTAAAGACATAATATTAGCAGCAGTGAAGAAGGAAAAAATATATATACCCTTACTGCCTTAAACTCTTTTGATCCAGAAGGCATCCAACTGGTAGAAAATTTGCTTCACGGCAATCCTAGGCCAATTTTCGTACTGTTATAACTCACTGAGAAATTGTGCTTTCTTAGAGATACTTTCAGCCCCTTACTGTTGTGCTAGTACCAGCCCTCTACTATACTCACATACATGGGTGTACTCACATTTATTCTTAGCTGATTAAATTTAAAGGGTGTCAACCATCCCTTGCTCTGAGAACATCACCTTAAGCCTGCTTTACGATAAATGCCAGCATGCTCGTGCTCCATTCCTAACTAATCGAACAATCGTCCTGCTGTTTGTAGTCAAATAATGCAATGATTACAGCGCAGCAAAGCAAGGTGCCAGTGTACTCACTAATAAAATCAAGAGAAAGAGTAATCTAAACGTACTCCATTTGCAAAACTCATTCCATTTCTTTTATAGTTTCTTCCTGTGACATTTACAAGTCTAAAATCTTCTGCAATTCCAGGGTCCTATCCCAAAGCTCCCATCAGTGTGCCTCAAAGTTCACCAACAGCCCACCTCATCTGTGTCTCTGCATACAGCTGTGTGAGCTGTGCACTGCACAACCCCAGGAATATGGGTCACATTGTAAAAGGCATAGGGTGAATATTTATAATCACAGCTATTATAGTAAATAGGAAACTGGTAACGGCACTAAAATGTATGGGTTTTTCATAAAATCGGTGTATTGTGATAATTTTTCCATAGAAAATAGTGTTTTGAAGAGAGGGCATAGTTTTTTAAATCACTCTGAAACACTACGTAGATTATCAGTGATCTTGTTACAAACCAATATAATTCAGATAAATCAGTTAAATTAATTATTTGATAATGTGTATAACGAGAGACAGGGATTTTTTTTCTTGTTGATCCGTACCTTACCCTAGAGAAGGCAAAGAGTTAACCATGTGTAAGGATTTGCACATCTCCCAGAAAAGTGACTCAAGTGACTTTTTTCTAACTTTTTGTCATTGCCCAATTACAGACCAAGAAAAGAGGTTCACAGAGATTTCATCTTCTCAAATACTGTTTTATAATTATGAAAAATGTGTTCAGTAACATATCCAATAAATAATATAGTTTTTTAAAACTACAAAGTTATTTAATTCCACCTGTACTCAGAGAAGCGAGAGAAGAGGAGGAGAAAGGAGGACAGGAAGGGAGTATAGAGGGATAAATATAAGCAGGGTGAGGGGAAGAGGGCAGGGCAGGGAAGGAAAAGAGATACAAAGAAAGAAATCAAAGTGTATTGAAAGGAAGAAAGGTGAGACATATAGCAAGAAAGATAGGAGAGGTGGAAAGATACGGTACGTTCTCAGGGTGCTGGTTGAGGTATAAACTGATTTGGTACTGCTTTAATTTTCCTTGGTTTATGAAAAAAGTTACTTGTTATGCTGACTGAGCATGAACCATTCATCACAACTCTTTATTCAATATCCCTACACTTTCCAAGATTCTTTTCCAGCCACTCACCAGGGGTATAACTGTTTTCTTGACTACAGTCACAAGCCACGCCAAAAAAGACAAGAGAAACAACTTTCCCCTGAGAGAACTGGTAGCTGCTGATGTTACATGGACAGCTATGGACAGAGAAAAGACAGAAAGGCTGAAATTCTGAGTCCATGGAAAACTGTGTCCAATGGGAATAATTAAAACCCACTATGCTTAGCTGTAGCAAAAAGAATCCATTGAAGTCATGCAATGTTAATCAATATTTAAACTTATATGGGTGAGCTATCAAAGTACATCTTAGTTGGATACCAAAAACATTGTTTTAATCAATTTGTGAGTTCTTAGGGTTTCTGAAGGCCCTACTCTGAATATGAAAAGAATAGCCATCAGGTTTATTTCACAATTCAAGTTGG